GATAGAGTTAAGGATAGGATTAGACTTAAAGTTAGTGTTAGAGTTAAGGGTACGCTTTAGGCTTCATTCGGTTTTCTGATTAGAAGACTGGAGCAGGTACCCCTCCTTAGATTTAGCGCAATGACACATTTTTTATAACTGGGGATGGTCTCATCGATTCTGACCGAGAATCACACAGCCATTTGTTTCGACCCGAAGTCAGATAACAAATACGGTTCCATCAGTTCCTCAGTATTCGACCGTCCGCTATAGAAGCGGCCGGATCAGTTTTTCCTCTGCTATTAACAAATCGAACCTTTATATACCCTTTTGAGACTTCAGAGCGAATTATGGTGATTGAGGACAAGGGAATATTCCTCCAGATTCTTCAAAAGCCCCATAAAAACTGCACTTAACGTTTTTCTCCCATAAGCAAGCGTTTGAAAACACCGCAAAGCGGAATTTTATAATAATATATTAGCTATATATTGATATATAATTATTATATTGTTTTCCCCGCAGATGTCGTGCGGACTGGAAAATACCGACATCTCTTCCATCCACAGTTCCTACTCAACGGAAAGGAGGATGCAGCCAATAACTATGCTCGCGGTTTCTACACCATTGGTCGTGAAATCCTTGAAGTCACCCTGAACAAAATCCGTCACGCAGCGGAAAACTGCGATTCGGTGACAAATTTCCTCCTGTTTCATTCATTTGGCGGTGGAACGGGGTCGGGATTTACGGCTCTACTGACTGAATACCTGACAGCGGAGTACGCCGCAACTTCTACAATCCAGTTCGGTATCTACCCGTCGCCGAAAGCCTCTACAGCCGTAGTGGACCCATACAATTCAATACTGATAACTCATGCCACTCTTGATCTCACCAAATGTTCCTTCCTAATGGACAATGAAGCGCTGTTTTATCTCTACGAGTAGGTAATTCGATACGATACTCACACATTTATTAGTAGGTATTATGTCATGCAAAGCATTTTACGCTCAAGGACACTAGTATGGTATGCATCAAGGACGCTGTGTGGGCATCTGTGAAACTTGGTCAATGCTCTTCCAGGTTCCAGCGTTTGAAAATGAGGCGACGTGGGCTAAGTCAGTATTGCCAAGCCAAACCAGGACTGTCGACGTCATGACAACATGCCTCCTTCCCTATGCATGTGAATGAGACTATCGCAGGGGGTTAAGTAAGTTAAACCCTAGCTATGGTTCCTTAGGAGAGAAGGAGTCGGTGCGGGCCATAATAGTGGGAATAGTTGATTCTGTATACAGAGGAATGCAGAGTAATCAGGAAGGACTTTGACTTCGAAGTGCACGACCAGCTAGGTGACTAGCCGGGTCATAAGTGCGGGCTTAGCAGCAGGCATCCCAACGGCCAACGTGAGCGGTCATTGTCTGGGTCAGCCTTGAAGATTTTTGGCCAGACAGACTGCATCGGCTTACGCGTGCAGGCGTGTTATTCGTTGCCAGACCAGGGGCCAGCTTTGCGACATCTGTGATTGGCTGTTCCCAGAAATCGAGGACAGCGGCAGTGAACTTTCGCAAAGTTACCTTCGACGCAAGCTAGTCACGACATGACTCCAAGCCGTACAAAGCAATTTGAACGTAAAAGAAAGTACTCTTAAATAAAAAGTGGTCTATGACGACATGTTGACCTCCGACTGACTCCTGTTAATTGGCGAATCTATTGTCGTGGGTAAACCCATCGCAATTTGTTAAGTTAATAGGTAAACCCTAGCCATTGCGATCTTCAGGGCCGGTTCCTTGTGGAGAGAGGGGGAGGAAGACGCCACACTAAAGGAATAGTTTATTCTGTACAGAAGGATGGAAGAATGTTGACACTCGGACAGGCATGCGTCTGGCCGCGAGGACCGGCATCAGTGGTGTGAGAGCGTGGGGTCGGCAAAAGTAGCTTGTGTAGCCCCATTCAGGTTTTTAAAACCCCAGCCTACTGTCTTACGGGACTGGTGGGATTTGGGGGGTTATGGGTGGGGAAGAAGGATGGATAGTGAATAATGCATAGAGAAATAAGTCTAAAAATTTCCTAAATTAGATTAAATGCATTAATCGCGGGCGCTATATAGCGCCGGCATAGAGCGCGTGAATCAAAAAATTACATATTTTTAGTGGGATGACCTACATCCAGCAAATTCACGGTACTGAACTACAAACGCAACTCAAACAACGAAAGGTAAAAAAACGGAATATCAGTAAAACAATAGTTCATGAATATTCTGACAAAGTCAAAATAAGAATTTTTTAAAGGAATATTTCACAGAAAAAAAACATAACAGCGTTTGGCGCAACGCGTGCACTATTAAAGAAAGAGAGGGCAGCGAATGCAACACGCAAAAATATTTACGAAAGCAAAAATTATGACACCAAAAACTAATCCTAAAACTAATACATATCACAAGCCCAGGCCTTAACCCTAACCATTACCTTTAACCTACACACTAACCCTAAACCCTAAACATAAACCCTAACCCTAAACCTTAACCCTAATCCTAAACCCTAAACACTAACCCTAAACCTAAACCCCAACCCTAACCATAAACCATAAACACTAACCCTAAACCCTAACCCTCAACCCTAACCCTCAACCCTTACTCTCAACCCTAACCCTAAACCCTTACCCTTAATCCTAAACCTAAACCCTAAACATAACAATAACCCTAACCATAACCCGAACTATTCCCCTAATCCTAGCCCTAACCCTTACCCTAGCAGTGCAGTAAATGCGTCGTACATAAAACCAGTGATAAATAAATAACGCAAACCAAAACTTCACACCTAAG